ACATTAATCTCGTTGCGAGTGAGTAGGTGTTTTCACGAGGACACACCAGTCCTTGTTTTCCAAGACAATGTGTCTTCAGAACTCAAGACGCAGAACCCTTCTGACACAATTATGCGTCAACTTGTTTGCTGCCATTCTCCGTGCGCGAAGTTGGCTTTTCGATTCATTTTGCGCAAGCAATGTAGATACGAAACCAAATTCAACATGTCGGAGTCAACAACTGTGTTGATGTGTGCGAAATCGATCTACGTCCTTTCTTTCACGGGTTATGCCGCATACAAAAAGGCTACGGCGCAGAGCCTTGAGAGCATCCCTTGATGGCAGAGGCAAAGAAATTTGCGTCTGTTTTGTGTTGTGTTTGGCAGACATTTTGCCTTCTGACAAGCACGGAAATTGAGCTTGCCGCACTCGCTCCAGGTGCAACAACACATATACCATGGGCTCCCAGTACAATTGGCCTTTCAGGCATCAAGTTCCTGCCTGAAAGAGCTCTGGGGCCTATCTGGTTCGTTCCTCATCCTACGCACCCTGATCCCTGGATCTGCTTCACGGCAGGAGCTTGTCAGAGTTTGAAGAAGTCTAGCATGGAGGTCGTAAGCTGTTTGTTGTAGCGGTCAGAAGCACACAGAGGCCCTTTTTGTCTCCCGCGTGTAATGCGTCTGAGAAGCGTGGGCCACGCAACAGCAAGAACAACCCGACACAAACTTCTGCTTCAAACTAGACTGTATTGTCCATAGGCTAAGCAAAAAACAGCGACGCCCCTTTTGGCTGGAATCTGCCGCGGTCTGCAGGTAGCTAACTTTATCTGACATGCCGTGCAAAACACGGACTTTTCAGAAGCGCGCAGATCGGCTGAACGTTGCGGACGGGCGAAGCCGGTCACCCTTTTGGCCTGCCGTTTTTTGGCAAGCGCGATTGCATGATCTGAGAAGGTGTTGAGCCAAGATTGCATGCCGCAAACACACACATGTCAAACCAATAGATGTTGCACCTCCCAACTCAATAGAAGCTGCGCTGTCCAAATTGTCCCTGGGCTGCCTTCGGGTGACTGATGCTCATGTTTCACTGTGCTGGTGAAATTATTGCATTGTCTGAAGACAGTTCTACCTCCTTTATGCGTCTGCGTCTTGATTCAGGATCAGTCCAAACGAGAACAGCTGCTGCACGCAGTGCAGTACTAGGTTCTGGACTTTTGAAGTTTCTCGATGATGAAGTACCGTCTGTGCTTCAATTGATATCTTGCGGATAGTGCCACTAATTCAACAGTCGGGGTATAGCGTTGTTGCCGTGGATGTTCTGCGTATTTCACAATGGCCTGCGCACTGCTGTCGTAAGGATGATCTCGAGCGCCTGCTGATTTCCCTCATGTCATACTTTCGAGGTCCTGACATCAACTCCATTTCTGATGTCAAATGGAAGTCCGACCTTCGATCAGAGCGCGCAGCACTGGCTGAATCTTGCACTTTCTGCAAATGGAATAGAATTTTCCCTTTCCTGGCGCAAGTCCCATGTGCTTGTTCTGGAATGGAGAGAGGTTGTCTTGCAATCGGCTGAGGAGCCTCCTTGTTCCTTCTGCAAGACTTGATTTTCGCCTGGTGCCAAGCGGACGTGATCTTGACAAACCGTGTCGCAGGATCAAGACCTGCCTTCTTTGACGAAAGGTCGTTGCTTCCAGCGCAGCTTCTTGCCAAAGTTCACCCATCTCCTGTCTTGATCGGCCTTGCGAATTTGTCGGGTGATCTTCTTGAGTGAAGTGGACTCTGTTCCTGAATTGATGGAGTTCAACATGATCTTGAGCTTTGCCTTCAATAGCCGTAGTCTTTGATTGGTGAATCATCGCGGGATAGAAGTGTTCCCATGTCTCCGTTGTGAAGGCCTGGTTTTAGGATGCAGGTGATTGAAGTAGTTCCTCTTCAGTTCCGAGGCGGGCTTGACAGAGATCATTGAAAGTCATGTCAGCAAAAATGTCTGTTCGTACTCCACTTGTCTTGCCTCTTGATGGTGCCTGTTTGGCTTGGCAATCTTCACATTCACTTCAAACCTTTTCGAACAGGTCGTAGATTGACTTTGGCAAGTTAAGTGCCTGGAGGCGAAGCTTCTTCAACTCATCTGGCTGTGACAATCCATTCGTGGGTTCTGCCTAAGGCAAGTGACAGTGCTTTTCGAGGCGTGACGTGAAGTGCTCCCTAGTGAACTATCCAACTGTCCCGATGATCTTTGAGGTGGCTGTGTCCTCTTTGGCTGATACTGACTTGAAAGCGCATACAACTTCTGATGCTGCATGTTCTGCAGGAGGAAATCGGAAACGTGATGCTTTCGCTGTCGTCAGAGACATTATGATTGAGGCCTTGCACATCGATTTCTCCAAAGTTCCTCAGCTTTGCCCCCGCAAGATGGACAAGGGCATGTCCTGCACCTGCGCTGGAACCTTGGTTCTCTTTTGCCGAAAGGCTTCGCATATGATCTTCGAGCGCGCGCAATGGTCATGTGCAAGTTCCTCATTTGACCAGTGCTGAAAAGTGTCGGCGCGGCTCAAGAATGTCTCTCCATTTGCAAAAGTGAACTTGGTATCTGCCAGTGCTCATAGGAGATGAGTTCCTTCCTTCGAGGACTCCTCTTCTTCGGCCCCCATCAGACCTCCATGTCCATCTTCGTTTTTGGCGAAAAAATGTAGAAGATGCGGGGTGATCGCAGTGTTGGATCCTGGATTGAGTCAGCCTGTTCACCCAGTCTGGTTTTGGTCCTGAGTTCCTGGCGGCAGTGTCTCTTCAGTGCTGCCGATAGGACAGCCTTCGCTGGTGTAGGCCTCCGCAAAGCCTCGTCTATGTGATGACAGCTTATCTCATTCGATAAAGCCTGGTACTGCAAGTGAAGAAGATACTCAGGCTAGAACCTGATGCCTGAGGGATTGTGCTGCAAGTCCCGGGTAAGTGTGTTGGTGGTGGTTGCACACATGGAACGAGTGAATGGGTACACCGCTACTTAGCAACTCCTCCTGTTTGCTCATACCCACACAGAGGAAATCTTGGGCTTGTTCCTCAACTTCTACCGTTGTTTTGCAACCCGTTTGCACCCGCTCAGCCAATGGGCTTTGCTACTGGGTTCCACTACCTGTTCTTTGTGTGCACCGATCAGGTGGGTCCCGCAGTCATCGAAGTCCACCCCGATTTTTTTCTGATTCATTCGCCTCGCGATGCGCTTTTCAGGCGCACTCTGACAGGAGCATTCAGCGAGCGCGCCAGCGTTGAGGTCGAAGCAGACGGGCACACCCGCCCCCGGCCAATACGCCATGGCCTGAACACACTTCAACGCCGAAGCATGCCAGATCACGCCAGCTTGCATTTGATTCTTCCAATTTCGTCGTTCAATGATGTGTCGCGTATCTTTGTGTGGCGTTTCTTTCGTCAAGGCCCGCATGCAGCAGCAAATGTCTAGCTGAGGTTTGGCAGGACAACGTGCATTTGCGGGAGAAACCGGCTGCAAACCCGGAAGCCATTCCCAGGTTTTCTGGGCTGCCAGTTGAAAAGCAAGTTGTAAGGTGTGGAGTATGACATCGCCTGACAGGACGACGTTTTTTTCTGACTGGCATTGCATCTGACAGCCTGCGTGAGGAAGAGTTTGGATTTGATGCGCCGGCCCCAGCTAGCTTGGCAATCCCGCAAGTTTGCACGGTGTCGCAAAAGGCTTCCTACATGGACACCGGCTTCCAGCTCACTTCAGCGCGCTTCCCAAAAAGCCTTCGCAACTCGAAAGTGCGAAAGTGCCGAGGCCGAGGGCGCCAGACCCTGGGGAGTGCCCGGGGGCGACGACTTGAGTTGGTGGCACGGGACTTTGAGAGGTACAGCGCCGAGTGCGGGCGCCGCGGCGTGCAGTGCCCTGAGCGCCTGAGCGCTGCATGGATCAGCTCAGCGCGCGGCGGACAGGTTCTTCAGTCCCAAGTGGTCTCAAGCTCGATCAAGCGGGTTTACGCCTCAATTCGCCCCTTCCACGGGCTGCATGCGTTGTTGCAAGTCTTCGTTCAGGCGGCCCTGCTTAGCACCGGAACCACCTGAACTGGTGGAACTCGAGTTCCATACTGAGTACAGCGCAGCGACATAGCACCGTGGTGGTACGTGGCAACGCGCTGTGATGCATTGTGACCAAGGAACAGGGTCCCTTCCAGTTTTGGCGGGGAGAACCCCCTGCAGGCATCAAGGCTGTAGCTAAAAGCAGCTGCCATCTCAGATGCAGGCATGGTCACCAAAATGGTCAGTGATGGGGAAGGACCCAGAGAGTCGCAACCGATCAGACAGACCATACAGATTGGGTGTCGGGCAAAGGGAACAGACTGAACCAGGTGGCGAAACAGACCAACCAGACCGAACAGACCGAACAGACCAGGACCGCTCGCAGCTGCCGCATCTTGGCCAAGATTCTGCATTCTGCGCCATTGGTGCGCCCGGCTACACTCAACCTGTAGCCAGCGGGCCAGGTACGACATAGGAACGTGGACTCCCAAACCCAACACAGATGTTCGTCCTGGACCAGGTATGGCAATTGTGGCAATTGTGGCAATTGCTGTCAAGCACGCGTGTGTGTTTTACTGACAAGTGTGCGTGGTCACAAGACTGGTTCGAGTTGCCTCCGCCAGCTTTAGGAAGGCCCTGCCCATTGGCATCCACACACGTGCAGCTGGCAGAGATCACAAGCCATTCGCAGCCCGGGACACACTTCAGCACAGCACAGCACAGCACACATTCAGCGCAGACTCACTCCCGCACGTTGCACGTCACTTCTGCACGCCTGTCGCACAATGGGCTGCGGTGCCAGCGCAGCCCCGGAAGCCCCACCAGAGCCTCCTGCGCATGACCGGAGCAAGGACAAGAAGGCAGACGGGAGACTTGAGGTATTCAATACGGGCAGGGGCAACAGAGAGTCAAAGGAGGCAAGGGACAGCTGCGAACGAGAGACACGGGACAAGGGCCCGAGCCCAAAACCCAAAGTTGCGCCCAAAATTCGCCAGGCTGCGCAGATGGAAAACAAGGAGACACGGACCGCACGACTCAAGGCAGACAACAGCCCTTCCGAGCTGTCAGGAGTACCAAGCGAGGATGAAGTTTCTGGATCAAGTACCATTGATGAAGCGGCTGCCCAAAGACGAGCACCCCATTGTAGCAGAAGCCTGCGAGGCCACAGCTGTGCCTCCATGAGGATGGCAAGTTGGCCAATCTGTCCAGGCATGTGAGTTTCAGCCCGGAGACACGATCATCCAGCAGGACATGCAAGGGTTCTGAGCAAGCTCAATCCATTTCAGTCTTCTTTTTAAGCTTGATCATGCTTTGACCGAGGGCAATTCTGGTGATGCTTTCTACGTGGTACGGTCTGGCGAAGCCAGCGTTCACGTGAACACCAATGCGGGCAGAGAGCAAGTCGCCTCACTCAAGGCAGCTTTCGATGGTTTCTGCCTTGTGTTTTGGCTCGGCTCACAATCGGCTTGCGGCAAGGGTGGGGACTACTTCGGGGAGAATGCGTTGTTGCGAGATGAGCCACGAACGGCAGCTCTCACAGTTTTGAGAAGTTTTGAGAACATGTCTAGTGACTAAATGCGACTAACATCCTAAGGCGACGATCATTGCGACGACTCGATTGCTCGCCTTTAGAATTAGAAGGGACAAGTTCCAGGCGCTGACTCGGGCCGGCCTCCGGGCCTGAAAGCTCGATGCCAGGAACTGGGGCTCAATCTGAAACTGCAGTTTGCCAATCGGAAGGCTCCGCAAAGACTTTGCAGCATGCAATTTGCATCTCATATGTTTTTTTTCTCAAGGCTGTGGGCGGTGGCATGAAAATGCCATCGAACCTCGACCCACGTTGGTGCATGCCCTCAAAACCCGAAAAGCCCTTGCCTCTGATATCTTTCGACCGTGCGCCCAAGGAAGAGCAAGCCTCCGACTCCTAAGTCGCCAGATGACATTGCACATTGGCTGCAGTCAGCAAGGCTTCACAACAAGTTCTGTTGTTCCATCTGTCGCCATGTCATATGTAAGGAGCTCATCACAACAGCCCTGCAAAGTAACGAGAACTTGGCCACCATGACCACGCTGGATTCAGCAAGGCTGCGTTCTTGCATGTTTGCATGCTCAGCCCAGCGCGACCCGTTCACGGCTCACATGGCTCACATGGCTCAGGCTTCAGTCCTTCATTGAGGTCATGTGGAAAGAGGAGGTGCAGGCGAGGATTCGCTTGGACTTGCAGATTAATGATTCGAGTCCAGTAGTCCGGCAGTGCAGGCTGGGGAGCGCATCATTGTGGAGGGCGACCTGCAAGCAGACTACTTTTATGTCGTGTGGCCTTGCCGCATGAATGCATCCTGCTTTCTGGTTGCCGCTTCCTTTGATTGCAAGAGCTAAGGGCGTCTGGCGAGTTTCAGATCTTGGTGGTGCCTTGCAAGGAATTGCCACGTCACACTGGACTTGATTGACCCGTGCCCAGGATGCAGATGCAAGCGCGGAGGACAGCCTTAACCAGACGGACAAAGTGGTGAATCGTGTCGCCCCAGGCAGGCGGCCCGCGCGAAAAAACTACATAACCTTGCCAGCGGGTTTCTTTGTGTGCTTGCTTTCCCTGAGGAAAGCATAGACACATGTGTTGATTCGTCGTCATCCTTTGCTTTTCCACTTTTTTTGTTTGTTTCCTGAGTCTCTTCAATTCAGGAGACAAGTTGAATGTGTGTTTGAGTGCGTGTATTGCATGTACCTGTGTATGTGCGCGTGCATGCACGTTTGTTTGTTTGTATGCATGTATGGATGGATGGATGGATGGATGGATGGATTGTTAAAGCAGGAGCCACTGTGGGTGTCCTAAATGCCTGATGCTAGTGTTTTCCTATGGCGGTGATCTATTTTCCTAGCCGTGCTGAAGGAAGGCTAAGGGATTCTCAAGGCCTTGGATGTACATTGCAGCATCAACGTTGTATTGAGAAGAAATTATCTTAACATGCCTCCTCAAGAGAATGTGTAAGTCCTCTACTTCTTGGCGCTTTGCCTCTCTGCTCTCGAAGTCATGCCCTTCACAACCTTTTGCTGCTCTCGAAATCATGCCCTTTACTCTTTGGCGCTTTGCCTCGCTGCTCTTGAAGTCATGCCCGTCACTTCTTGGCGCTTTGCCTTGCTGCTCTCGAAACCATGCCCTGTACGTTTTGGCGCTTTGCCTTGCTGCTCTCGGAATCATGCCCTTCACTTCTTGGCGCTTTGCCTTGCTGCTTTCGAAAATCGCGCCCTTTACGTCTTGGCGCTTTGCCTTGCTGCTCTGTGAACCATGCCCTGTACATCTTGGCGCCTTGCCTTGCTGCTCTGAAAATCATGCCCTGCCCGTCTAGGCAGTTTGTCTTTCTGCTCTCAAAGTCATGCCCTGTAATGCCCTTTACGCGTCCTGGCGCTTTGCCTTGCTACTCTCGAAATCATGCCCTCTTCTTGGCGCTTTGCCTCTCTGCTCTCGAAACCATGCCCTGTACGTCTATGCGCTTGGCCTTGCTGCTCTGAAAGCATGCCCTTCACTTCCTGGCTCTCGTTGCCTTCCTGCGCTCGAAATCATGCCTTTTACGTCTTGGCACTCTGCCTTGCTGCTCTCGACACGATGCCCTTCATTTCTTGGCGCTTTGCCTTGCTGCTTTCGACATCGTGCCCTCTACGTCTCACAAAGTTGCGATTTTCCACTTCGCGTACTATATACTTGCACTTCAAAGTTGCGATCTTCCAGCCAGAGCTGGAAACTCGTACTTCACGTACTATACTTGCACTACAAAGTTGTGACTTTCCAGCTGGTGCTGGAAACCTGCACACTTCGCGCATTGGACTTGCACTTCAAAGTTGCAAGTCTCCAGCTAGAGCTGGTGCTACAAAGTTGTGATTTTCCAGCTAGAGCTCTCAAAATCATGCCATTCACTTCTTGGCGCTTTGGCTTTGCCTTGCTGCTTTTCAAAACGCGACCTATATGTACGTCTTGGCGCTTTGCCTTGCTGCTCTCGAAACCATGCCCTGTACGTCTATGCGCTTGGCCTTGCTGCTCTGAAAGCATGCCCTTCACTTCCTGGCTCTCGTTGCCTTCCTGCGCTCGAAATCATGCCTTTTACGTCTTGGCACTCTGCCTTGCTGCTCTCGACACGATGCCCTTCATTTCTTGGCGCTTTGCCTTGCTGCTTTCGACATCGTGCCCTCTACGTCTCACAAAGTTGCGATTTTCCACTTCGCGTACTATATACTTGCACTTCAAAGTTGCGATCTTCCAGCCAGAGCTGGAAACTCGTACTTCACGTACTATACTTGCACTACAAAGTTGTGACTTTCCAGCTGGTGCTGGAAACCTGCACACTTCGCGCATTGGACTTGCACTTCAAAGTTGCAAGTCTCCAGCTAGAGCTGGTGCTACACAGTTGTGATTTTCCAGCTAGAGCTCTCAAAATCATGCCATTCACTTCTTGGCGCTTTGGCTTTGCCTTGCTGCTTTTCAAAACGCGACCTATATGTACGTCTTGGCGCTGTGCTTTGCTGCTCTCGAAACCATGCCCTGTACGTCGCGGCGCTTTGCCTTGCTGCTCTCGGAATCATGCCCTTCGCTTCTTGGCGCTTTGCCTTGCTGCTTTGCCCTTCTTGGCGCTTTGCCTTGCTACTCTTGAAACCGTGCCCTTCAAATCTTGGCGCTTTGCCTTGCCGCTCTCGTCGAAAATCATGCCCTTCGATTTTTAGCGCTTTGCTTTGCGGCTCTCGAAATCGTGCCCTTGACGTCTTGGCGCGTTGCCTTGATGCTCTCGAAAACATGCCCTTAGCGTCTTCGCTCTTTGCCTTGCTGCTTTCGAAACCATGCCCTGTACGTCTTTGCGCTTTGCCCTGCTGCTTTCGAAATCATGCCCTTCACTTCTTGGCGCTCTCGAAATCATGCCCTTCGCTTCTTTGTCTCGTTGTCTCCCTGCTTTTGAAATCATGCTCTTGACTTGACGTCTTGGCGCCTTGCCTTGCTGCTCTCGAAACCATGCCGTGTACGTCTTGGCGCTTTGCCTTGCTGCTCTCAAAATCATGCCCGTGACGTCTTAGCGCTTTGCCTTGCTGCTCTCGAAATCGTATCCTTCACTTATTGACGCTTTGTCTCGCTCTCGAAATCATGCCATGTAATGCCCTTTACGCGTCCTGGCGCTTTGCCTTGCTGCTCTCGAAATCATGCCCTTCACTTTTTAGCGCTTTGCTTTGTGGCTCTCGAAATCATGCCCTTTACCTTTTGCCTCTTTCTTTCTGCTCTCGAAATCGCGGCCTTCACATTCCTTTTTCTTTGCCTTGCTGCTGTTGAAGTCATGCCCTTCAATTCTTGGCGCTGTCTTTCTGCTCTCGAAATCATGCCCCTTACTTCCTTTTGGCGCTTTCTTTCTGCTCTGGAAATCATGCCCTTAGCATCTCTGCGCTTTGCCTTGCAGCTTTCGAAATCATGCCCTTCACTTCTGGGCGCTTTGCCTTGCTGCTCTCGATTTTCTCCGCTCAAAGGCGTTGCCTTGCATATTTTGCCTGCAAATGCCTATCGCGCGTGCTCACCAAGATGTAGTGGAGGTTGTTGCTCAGTTGCATCCATTGCTCCGCCACTCCTTGTGAAGGTGCTGCTGTCTCAAATTGGTCGTTGAGACTGACAGTTGTGACTGCTTCCGCACGCAAAAGCGCTTGTTGCTGGCGCAGGGCGAACAGGAATGCTCACGATCGGTGTGAAGCGCGCATGGTTGGCGAATAAGCGGGTTCCAGCAAACACAACGGCGCCCTCCAGCACGACTCGACTGAACGCATGTTGGTCCAGCTTCCTTAGGACCCCCAGTGAAAGTTATCCAAGGGGTTGGTTCTTCAGCGAATGGGGTTGTGGTAGGGATGGTGGTGTGAAGGCATGCGTTTAGTGTTTTTTCTATAAACAGGGCTCGCTTCTTGAATAGTATAGGGACAGAAGTTTGGTAGGTTCATCCGGCAGTGACGCTGAGTGCGTCGAACAATTTAGTCACAAACAATGGCGATCCTGAGGGTGTTGACCGATTTGATCGGCATTCCTGGATGCGCGTGCGACCACCGTAGAAGCCACACCTTATTCGGTCTCGCACAATGTTTCACGGTTGAATTGCCCGCTCGTTGGATTTTCACGACCACGCACGCCGTTGTTTCAAACCCTTGGCTAAATATGTCCCGACCACCAAACCACCAGAATGCGATTTAGCGCACGTCTAAATTTCTTAGTCACAAGCAAGAAGCGAAGTTAGAGGCCAGAGGCGGTATACTTTGGGGGGAGGTGAAAGCTACAAACAACCAGGAGTTAAAGAAGTTGGGGGCCAGAGAAGTGTGGCATGAGAGCAGCAAAGGTTAGTAGAGGCTGGGGAAGCCACAGGTTGGAGAACTTTGGAGCGAGCATTCAAAAGTTTGCGGCGATTTCTGGCAGGTGAGTTTGTCAACCGAAGACGTTTTTGTAGGCTATAGCGGCGTTGATGCTGCGCGTGTGGACCAGCTTGAGAGAATTCAGCGGTGAACGGCTACTTGTACAAAGCCCTCCCCCTTCCCGCGAGACTGACGCTCACCCCTCTCCCGATTGCCAAACCACATAGCTTCAATGGGATCCGCAGTCTCTTTTGACTCAGGTGGCAGCTTCGGAGAGTTGGCGCTGCTGTACTTCGTGCCCCGCGCGGCAACGGTGGTGGCCGCCACGGAAGCCACAGTTTGGGTCATCGCCGCGCGCCAAGACCAAGCCCGACAAATGAACAGCTATGAACAGCTTTAACTTCCGCCGGACGCACGCCTGAGGATCGGGGCAATTTCAAAAACATACTGATGAAGGCGCGCAACCGGAGAACATGCCAAGCTAGTTTCACCCAAGGAGAAACATTTCTCATGGGCAAACCAAAGCATGGTGACGATGTAGTGCATCATATGCGCACTGCAATTGGCACGCGGACCGGAGGTCTCTGACAGCAAGATCAAGGTCCTTGCCCAAGCATTGGCTCATTGCAGTTCACTTGACTGCGTCAAGCATCCAGATTTGCCAAGGAGTATGTGAGATATTTGGACCAAGTGTCTATTTTGGATGCGCTACTAGCGGAAGAGAAGCGCCAAGTGGCCAACGCTCTCGTTGAGCGACTTGGCGCAGCAACTCTGCATGGGCACTCAAGAGCGAAGCTATCTGCGCCGAAGGATGCATTTTGCGATTGACGACTTGATCATCCAGCAAGGCGAGCCTGGCAACATGCCTCCAGGCTGCGCTACAAACCCGGACCCAATGTTGCTTCTGTTCAAACTCCTCAAAAAGAACTGCCCGAAAGGTGTCCAACTGCAGTTGGCAAGGTGAGAGAGAGAGAGAGAGAGAGAGAGAGAGAGAGAGAGAGAGAGAGAGAGAGAGAGAGAGAGAGAGAGAGAGAGAGAGAGGGGGGGGGGCAAACCCAGCAAGGTTGAAATTTGCTTGAAATTGCACGTCATAAAAAGTGTTGTGGCCGAAGCCGCGTGGCATCCAAGGTTCTACATAATGTATGAAGGTGAAGTGTCTTGGATGATGTGGCCTCAAGTCCAACCCCAACTGTTTTGAGCATTTGCTGGAAGAATCTCCAAACGCCATTTGAAGCAAGCAAGTTTGCAGGTGGATATCATCAAGGAGCAACCAAGGGAGGGGGGCAAATGGCCCCGCGCATCTCCAGATCAAGCCTGTGCAGGACAGCGCAGTCGTGGCAACGCTGGATGCCCGCAGCAAGAGCGGCAACCAAGCCCAATGAGCGCAATGAGAGCCCGAAGCACTGTTCGTGCACAGAGGTTAGATCTAAGGCACTGTCCACTTTTTCGGTGAGAAGGCTCTTTTGGAGAACGATGTCCGGACTGCAACTGCCAAGGGCTCACGATATGGCTCGCACTTTGCTTCCTGTTGTTCGAATCTTTAGGTCATTGTGAAGTCTGTGGATGCGAAGTGTTTAGTGCTGGACCGCGAGTCTTTCAACCTCCTCCTGGGACCCTTGAAAGACATCATAGAGGCTGCCAGAGAGGGCCGCGAGCGCCCCGAGCGCGTGGTTCCAGGAGCAGCGGCAGGCTGCCCCGTGGCAGCCAATAAATCGCGAGCAGCATGGTGTGTATTTCATGTTCTTTGGGCATGCAACATCTCTCGTTCTGAGCTTGACTAGGGACTTCTGTTCACCTCTCCTTCTCTTTTCGCTGTCTCTTGTCTCTTGTCTTCCCTCTTCCTTTCAAGCCTCTCTCAGGCTTCCCTTATCCCTCTCGTCCATTCCCCTTTCCATGTCTTTCCATGTCTTTCCATGTCTTTCCATGTCTTTCCATGTCTTTCCATGTTTCATGCCTAAAGGTCTTCGGTCGGGAGTCTCCGGGCTCTTACGGATTTGACGGACCGACCGCGAGTGACTCGAGTGACTCAAGCTCGGGTCTCGACCGAGCGATGCGATTCGAACTCGACCGAGTGACGTGTTGGAAAAGCCGAGAGTTTCGAAGTTAAGCCGAGTTTCGAACGCCGAAATGAGCTGTGAGTTTCGAAGTTTCGAAGTTTCTTCGAGTTTCAACAAGTTTCCAACGAGTTTCAAACGAGTTTCAAGTTTCGCCGGCGCTCGCTTCGGCTCGAGGCTTGGCGAAGGACCGGCCGCGGATCAAGCGCAGCGACCTGAAGCGCGTGGGGCTGCTGGGCTGCGGCGGCTTCGGCGCCGTGGAGCTCTGGGAGCACCTCAAGTCAGGCGAAAAAAGGAGAGAAGAGACGAGGAAAAACAAAAGACGGACAGAAAAGAAGACGGTTTAAAAAAAAAAAGCAATGGGAAAGAAAAGCCACGAAGAGAAGAAGAGAAGAAGAGAGAGTGAACACTGACGAGTTGAAAAAACGAAACGAAACGAAGTCGAAGCGAGAAGAACCCAAAGCAAAAAAGCAAAAGCAAAGAAAGCTCAAACAAACCAACAAAGCCCGCGGAAGACAGAAAACGGAAGAACCCCAAGCAACACTGAAAAGACCTTTTTTGAAAAGGACCGAAAAGCTATTTAAAGGAAAAGAGGAAAAGAGGAAAAGTGGAAAGCGGGCGCCCCGAAAAGAAGAGAGGGAGAACACGAAGAAACAAGGACTGAAAAGCGGAGCCGGAGAAACCCGAAAGAATGAAGGGAGCGTGGAAAAGGTGGAACAAGTGGAAAGCGGATGGACAGAATTCTGAAGGAGATCACCGAAAGAGAGAAGAAAGATGAGAGGAACTGTGAGCATCGGAAAAATGCTATGACAAGACGCAAGGTAAAAGGGCAAGTCAAAAGTTTAGCCCGCTCGCCAGGCCAAACCTTCGCACTCAAGGCGATCAGTAAGGGATACATTGTGAAGACGGGCATGCAGGAGAGCGCCATGGCAAGAGCGAGAAGAGTTGCTGGCTCAAAGGCACGCGCGAATGCCAAGAGCTCTGACTGCGCCAAGGCATCATGAATGAAAAATATATTCTGGCCGCTTGGAACAAAAGCTGCGACTGACCGCGAGGATGTCTGCAAAGTGTGTTGCAACTTCAGGCCATGACAAATTCTTATTTCATCACGAAGCTCTTTGAGACGTTCAATGGTACGCAGACGCTTCCGGGCAAGTGCTACTGCTACTACTGCTTGATCTGGAGTTTCCCGAAGGTCGCACCTCGTCCCAGGTTGTACTTCCTTCTGGAACCTTGTCTCGGAGGCGAGCTCTATGCAACATACATCCGGTGCAGAGCCCAGTCAAGCTGCCGCATGTCACATAGCACTCAGAGGCCTAGTGCACGCGTCAGACAGATCGTGTTTTTTGAGGAAGGGCCTCTATGGCTCCGAAAGGCATTGCAGGTCCGGATTCTGTCGTTGCTTTTGAGCGAGATCCCTAAAACTCGCAACAAGACTGCCTAGGGCCTGGGCAAGTGGCACCGGACAGGTTGACATTTTTTAAGCACAAACGCAAGTGCGCCAAGCTTGGAGAGTGCTCCAACGCCATATTTGATAACAATTTCAGCGCTGCCCTTCGCTTGCTTGTTCGTGGACATTCGGGTTGGCACACAGCCTAGCTTAGCTTGGCTGGGCTCTTGCTTTGGAAAGCAATGGGGCCAGTGAATCCCACTGATTTCTTGCACTAAATGTAGGTTCAGATAGCTTTTCCTGCGGATCACAGGCTTGATGGCCGCCCGCAAGGCTCCCCGGCTCGCTCTCCCCGCGCTCCCCGGGCTCTCGGCTTTTGTCCACCTTGCATCTCTCCGGTGTCCACTCGCATCTCTTGGCACCTCTTCGCATCTCTTCGCATCTTGTCGCATCTCGTCGCATCTCGCCCGTTCCGCTCCCCATTCCCCCGCTCCAACTACGTCGCCCTTGAAACGCTTTCGGGAAGCGAACTGCCGAGATGGAAGGGCCACACAGCACAGCACAGCCGAGATAAACATTCACAGAATGCTGGACGGAAAGGCTAGGAGGAGAGCGTAGCACAGAGCCATTGCATGAGGCCGCTGCAGACGTTTGCATGGTGGGTGCAGAGCGAGACCAGCTCAAAATGGAGAGTACTTGCTTGAGTTCGCCAAGTCAAACGCGTGCGTTGGCATAGGTTTGGCAGCTTTGACAGGTTTTACACTTCTGGTGTCGTTTTTGCCTTCGAGCACATGCACCAGCGGCGGATTATCTATAGAGCAGCTCAGCTTGGTTGCACGACCTCACTGCTTAGGCTGCTCAAACAGTGTCTCCGTGCATCTCAGGATTTGAAGCCAGAGAATCTACTGCTTACAGAGGAAGGCCATCTCAAGCTCACGGACATGGGCTTGGCAAAGTTTGTCTGGGCCGCTGTGAAACCTCTTGATTCCCTTGATTGTCTTGATTCCTTAGGTCATTGGAAAGACGTATACAACATGTGGAACGCCTGACTACTTTGCTCCAGAACTCATCGCATCCACTGGCCATACCAATGCTGCCAGAGCCTCAGCCTGCTCAGTGAGTTTGTTTTTGGGGCTATGCGGCAACGCAGAGGTTGACTGGTGGACGCTGGGCATTCTGACTTTCGAGCTTATGCCCTGGCCTTGAAGCCTTGTTCTAGCCACGCCACACCGTCCCAGCAAAGCAAGCGCTCTGCAAATTCCGCAACTCAAGGTCAGGTCGCCCGCCGTTCGAATCCGCATACCCCATGTGGCTCGGCATTGGTCGGAGAAGGATGCCATGGTGCACGCCGTCTTTCTCCCATCGCCTTGCGAGGCAAATCTATGCCAAAGTCACCAAAGGCATTAGCAAAGTGCAATTCCCGCCGCTTGGACTGTGAGATCCAGCGAGCCAATCCGGTGTTTGCAGTGAGCCTTTGCAGGCCGGCCATGAAAGGGAATTGCAAGAACCTCATTGCACCTTGGCAGTACTAGGGTGGCGCATGAATTGACATCCAGTGGGCTGACGTCCCCTTTCCCTGACAAGGAGCAGTTGCTGAAGAACGATCCGGTAGAAAGACTACCCATGAAGCCTGGTGGGGCCTCTTGTCTGCAAGTTTAGGCTGGGGTGCGACTTCAGTTTGCAGAAGTGGCAACACACACAGCCAAGGTGCAAAACATCAAGCAGCACAAGTGGTTCTCGGACTTTGACTGGGAAGCGGCGGAGAGCATTGGCCGCAATTGGCCTCCGGAAACCCCGAACCCGATTGGCTGAGGAACTTGGGCTTGACTGCGCCGTACAAGCCAACAGTGAAGAGCAAGCGAGACTTGCAGAACTTTGTGGCCAGAAAGGAAGATGCGCCAAGACACCTGGAGCCGCTTTGAAGGATTCGGCATTGATGATGTCAGAATTCAGACACACTCTGCCCAGATCCTGGCTGAGGTATATTGATCCAGGAAACGGCTGGGACAAGGATTTCGCAACATCTTACTAGGCAGACCACGGCGTCTGCATTTCACTGCTTTGATAGTTGGTAAGGCGGGTATTCCAAAGTTTCCGACCTTCCGGCCTGAGTGTAGGAAGCTGTGCCATGCATGGTGTCCCGTGCCAAAGGCATTGGCTTTCGGCTGACACGCCCAGAGACTCCAGAGACCCCGCGCACGTTCCAATTGCTTTGGCGGGCTGCGTTTCACTCCCAGATATGCCCCGGTTTTTTTGGCTTTCTTTGAGGCTTGTGAAAAACGTAGGCATAGAGCTTGCCAAGCCGCTTTTCCAAGCTTCTGTCGGCCACCAGTCTGCAAGACTTGCAATTCATGTTTGTACTTTGACGTCAGAGATGTCAAAGCGCGTGAATAGACTCAGGCAGTCTGAGCAAAAAGTTGCTGCCGCAGTTTCAGATGCCTGCATGGGACGGCATGGGACGGCATGGCTTTTGCATGGCTTTTCAGGCTCGTATAACCTTGATAGGAGGTCACGGTGGAAGGCGCGAGCTTCACGAAGGAAGGGGTTACGCATGCGCCGCGAGGCCACGACGCGCAGCGGTTGCACCTGGGGCCGTCGCTTGAAGAACCTGCACCCAGAGGAGGGATTTGGAGATTTGGAGATTTGGAGATTTGGAGATTTGGAGACGAGCCAACTAATCAAAAATTCCGGCGACAGCCCGAAGGAGCGGGCATACGTCACCCAGACGAGCGGCGCTCGCATGAGTCGGCCACTTAAGGTAATGAAGGCGCGGAAGCACGCGTGCGCAGGCTACGGTGAGTGGATGCGAAGGCCAAGTGGCAACGCTCTCAGAGGGGGCTCGGAAAAAGGTAACTGACGTGCAAAGCACATGCCTGACAAATGTTTCACCCGTTTCAAGGAGATGTGTTTCACCGTTTCACCCGTTTCACCCGAAGCACATGGCCTCGAGCCTGTTTCCCACGCCGACCTTCCCGTTTGCGCTCGGAGATGGACAAACCGGACAAATTGAACTTGGCATTTGCAGAATTCGGATTGCGTGTCGAACTAAGTAAAAGAATCTGTGCGCCGCAGTATTTTTATGGCCTAAGCACTGGGTTCAAGTTGGTGATGGCCTGAGCAAGTCCAAGTTTTCTTATGTCGGATGAAAATGGAAAGCTAGGCCGGCATGCTGCCTATCGAGCCTCGCCTCAAGCCACTGGGCGCCAAGCTCGATTGCTTGCGATGCGTTTCTTTGTGGAGCTGTCCGAACTGGCCGGACAGGCTCGACTAGCATCCACTATGCAGAGAAGGTCTGTTTGGTTTGGGCCGGATTTGCCGCATTGGCTAGTGGAAGGCGAACACGCTTGCGCGATGCCACTCATTCAGCGGCTATGCGTCAGACTCAGCACGCGCGTTTTTTGCGAGTTTCATTGCATTTTTTTTGGTCTGCAGATCCCCTACTTTCTTCAAGACGACTGCCAAGTGCCGCCGTCGGCACCTCACGTGGCCCGCACAAAGATCTCAGAGCCGTGCCCTTGAAGGTCTTCAAGCTCTAACGAAACGCCATCTGACATTGAAGGCGTTCAACATCTGGGTGCAAGGCATTGTTTATGCTTGACAGGTGAGCCAGTGCTCCCGGTCTGGCCGGACACCGATGATGAGCAAGAAGGCCCAAGCGTTTGGCCAAGATTTGTCAAGCTTTGTGTTTTGGTTTGTGAGGTTCGGAGTCACTTCCTCTGGTTGCCGTCCCGTGCGAATATGGGGCGTGGCCCCAGTGGCCGGTAAGCTGGCCAGACGCCCAGCGACAAATGCCGATCGGCGAAAAGGCCGCGGCCTCAAAGGCCTCATGCGACGTCCGCGTGCACCGGTCAAATGCGGGCCTTTTGCATGGCGTGTCGAGGTCGTCGAGGGCTTTGGGCGAGCCTTGAAACAGGCGAATCCTCCATGTCACCAACTCCCATTGGATTCCGATACAGATCCAATGATGCGCTCACCTTGCCAGGCTGCAGACGAAGCGCCGCCACCTAGCTACCAAAGCTGCCTGGAGCCCAGCAGTCGCATGTGTTGAAGTGCTCATCGACCGGCGTGTCACTGTCTCAGGCTTTGATAGCGAAGTCCCCGAAGTGAATATCAAGCAGTGTGTTCGGGACCTGCACAGGCAGAGCGTTGGACGAATTGTATGAAGTGTACGCGGCGCATCTCCGAACAAAACCCGGATGCCGATCGCAGATGTCAGTGCCGAATGTCAGTGCCGCGTGTGCGCGGAAGGAACGCCAGCTGCCGGCCCATATGCTTTGTGCAGGGCTCTGGACGCGGAGAGGTCACTGAGGGCGGTGAGGGCTGCATTGCGAGGTCTACGCCTTTGTCTACTTGTGCCGGGCGTCAGAGTTGAACCCCGGGAAGGCGTGGCGCGTGGCCGGCAAGAGGTGGGCATTCAAGTGCCATCTTGCCAGGTAGAGCTGAACCATAGGACGGTCCACAGGCTCTTACTTGCTGCTGGGAGCTTGGCGCCGATCAAGGTCTTGGATTTGAAAGTATCAAGTGTAGTGGTCAAACTGGTAAAAGCGGCAAGGAGAAGGGCGCAACTGATTGACAATGTCGCAGGGAGAGTAACAACAATGCTTGACAACATGTGGTTAGCCATTCATGAGAGGTGACATGTGGGACTAGCGACTAGCCGATGACATTGGGCCCACGTTTGGGATGTTTTACTGTCTGTTCCGAATGCCCCATGAGGGTGACTTGGCACCCAGGCTATCACATTGGCCGCCAGGCGCCGTGTTTACTCTTGGGAGGGCTTGGAGCTTCACTTGCTCTCTGACAGCTCCCTGACAGGCGGCACCAACCTAAGCTGTTTGAAATTGAGTGGTATGGCCAAGTGATGAGCTTAGTTTGCAAGCTGCATGCAGGGCACATGTGACGTTAGAGATGTTAGGTAGGCAACATCCGTATAGACGAGCTCCATGATTTGGAGGCGCAACAGGGCTATATCGCGAAGCTACTGAGCTATTTAGTACCAGGCGAAGCTACTGGAGCTTTTGCACTGGGACGTGGAGGTCTGCACCAAGAGCTTCAAGAGGCTCACAGTGAACAGACATGGACAAGCGCTCGTGAAGTTGAACAGGATATTCCAACTTCTCAGCCAAGCTGCCTGAAGTGGAAGAGCGGATGCTTCGGATGCTTGCATGCCGCACGAAGTGCAGCCCGTGAACGTGAGCCCACTTTGGGACTTGGCGAGTTGCGGGCCAGGTTTCCTCTTGTGCATCGCTCGCCTCTGCATTTTCCGAATTTGTTTTGGAGCAGCCCATGGCAATCCGGCCAGAAACTACCCACATGGACGATAAATGTTGCTTAGACGGCTGCAATCCTGTATGACGGATAAGAGTATCTCTGATAGGGCATGCAGTCACATGTGGCTTCAGCATGGCCATCACTGACAAGCTGTGGCATGTATGTTGCGAGGGTCTCTACAAAATGAAGTAAGCAAACCAATGAGACACAATTCATGTCACGGCCTGTGCATCACAAGCTCGATTACCCGCTCGAACTTCAAGCGCTACCTGAAATTGGAGCTGCGTTCAGTGTGCGTGTGTGCCCTCTTCTATTCAGAATCTCCGGGCAATTCATGAACCTTAAAGTCTTGACATGGAAGTGTGAATGTTTGTCTTTTGGTTGAGGGTGGCGGTAGCAGACCTCCTCAACAGGGCTGGGCTGGCGAGAGGGCCCGGCTTTTTTTTATAGCGGGCTGCGAGAGGTTGAGCCTGCCAAGAATCCAGATCCATGTCTTGTTTTGCCCTTGCTTAATTCTATGTGGCTATGTTTGCCTTTGTTCAGATGGTTGGCAGGCCGCAGTCCGGATGCGGCAAAGCCCCCCGTGTCTCTCGCACGAGCTCAGCGAGTTGCACCGTGACACACCGCGGTGGCAAACTCGCTCGAGATTGCTCGACGCATTGCATTACTGTATAGAGATCTATAAGAGCACTTTGCAACACTTTGCAACACTTTGCAACACTTTGCAACTGCAAAGGCCAAAGCGCGGAGCTGATGGTCTTGGCCAGGTAGGTGACCAGACGCTGAGCCAGTGGGCCAGCAAGCTCGGGCTCCTTCAAAGGGGGTCATGCGCGAGGCGGACCTAGCTCAACACAGCAGACTCAGACGCGCTTGAAATTTCAAATGGTCGCTGCTTAAGCCGTCAGCTGATGCGGTCAGGTTCACTCGGGGCTGAGAGCCTTCCAGAAAGCCGGTTGGCCGGGGTTCGACAGGCTCAAAGCCAAAGCCAGTCTGGACGGTTGCGTTTGCGAGATGCGGAACACCTGGGAACTCTTTGGCTTCCACCTAAGTACTCCGCCCCCCCACTTGGCCACCCTACCTTTGCCTTGGAAAATCACAAAAATGAGCCACGTCGACCAGCTTTACATGCGTCAGCCCCATCATCAGCACCTTGAGCACGCGTTCATACTCCATGCTGTGCGGCGCTTCACTTGGCCGTTCACCTTCTCTGTTTCGTCCCTTCTTCCCTCTCATTTGAGTGCTCTCCATCGTTCTCATGCTCCACCCGAGCCTAGAGCAAAGCCGCCGCCCTGCAAGCCTTCAGCCTTCCTTCCTCTCAGGCTGTGCGCATCTTGACAGATGGCGGGAAGCTCAGCGGCTTCCGACGCTTCCAGTTCGCATTAATTTGTCCTTTGCTTTCCGCTTCCCTAGTGTCACAAGCGTCAAAGAAACCATGTTCTTTGGCAAGTGGGCGGCGCGCTCTTTGATCGAGATGAGATCGAGGGCGTGCGCCCACAAATCGTGTTTGGCACTTGCTCCTACAACTCGGCCCCAAAACCGCTCCTCGTGCCCAAACCTTCCTGGCATTTGGCTAGTTTTCTGTGTATCTACTGGTTTATTTGTTTACCTACCTAACCTATCTATCCATCTTCCTCCCTAACTCTTTACACACACGGCCGGGCCCAGACCCGCTACTCCTCCCACTCCTGCCCTGACGCCTACTCCTAATCCAACTACGTCTGCCAATGCCACTACCACTACTACTATCACTACTTCTGCGGCGGCTACAAGCTTGCGACGCCTACTGCTCGCAGCTGCTGCTGCTCGTGCGGCTGTGGCCATCCGTTTTCTGCCCAAGTCTGGCTATTCCTGTCGCTGCCTGGCACGCACGTGGCAACTGGCGGTAGTGTACTTTGTGTGCTAGACTTGTACTGAACAGTTGCACCTTTGTAGCTGGAATTGCCGCTGTGTACTTTTTCTGCCCGACTTGGACTTGCACTGAGAGGCACTTTGTTGGGCAAGCTGCGGAAGTTCTGCTAGATTTGCGCGCGGCCAAGTCAACAAAAAAAACGCTTTCCAAAAGCGGTATGGGTGACAGGGCGCACAAAACACCTTTCTTCTGTATGCTCTCGTCGTCGGATCACCGCAGAACAAATCATAC